AATTAACTATAGGGGCTTGCCCTTATAGGGAGCTTTTCCGAACCCAGCTTAAAATAAACCCTATTTAATTCTTTGTATTAAATAGGGGAACTTGTCGGCAAATAAAAATGGTTTCGCAGACCCAAACGGATGTCATATCTTTCTTAGTTTATTTGATTGAGCCTCACCCTCAAGTCTTGTGTTTATCCCTCGGGATAGATACAGGATTTGAGGTAGAGCGCTCTTTCATTTAAACTGTGAAAAATATGAGGTCAGTTTGATTCCATATTTTTCTAAAATTATATATATATACGTAAATTAAAAAGTCCTTCCGAAGCGGGCGACGGGATTTCGATTCCGGCGACCGACAGCTTCTTACGGGCGACCCCCAAACGTAACTCCCCCCTTTTTAAACGCCGACATTCATCTTTCATTAAAAATCTTGCAATCCTCACGTTGTACACTTAGGTTTTGAGAGCCACATTTATTTCTCGAGGTAGAGATCTTGGTTCTCACATATAATCTTGAAAGTGTTTGACTACCTAGTCAACTATGTTAAGAATAGCTTACTTTGTGATTTTGAAAGGAGTGGTTAGCGAAAAAACTATGATAGGAGGATTTGGGGAGTGGAGATAGGCCATATATTAGTTTGCATGGTCTTTTAACTTCATGCACTACTTTTTTCTTTTACTCTTTTACTCATTGCAATCTTTTGTGAAAATTATATGCATATGTGGAGAGTGTTGACTGTGTGTGGTAAATGAATTATGGAAGCCTCTCTAAAAAAATGAGTTGAGTTTCAAAATAATCCCCCGAGTATTTATATTAGGTTATTTTATCCAGAGGTTGAATTTCTGCTCCAATCATAGTATAGATCTTAAGACACACAGAGCAAGGATTTGCACTATTAAATTTGTATCTCTATGGCCCTTAGATTGTAATCCATGCGCTTTCCTAAAGGTTCGTTGGTCCCTACTTAATTTTCTCTCCTTTTTTGGTTTATTCCTATTTTTTAATTCTTATGAGAGATGTATATATAACTCCCCTCTTGTACAAAAAAAAATGAAGACTCTTGAGCAAGTTAAGGATATTTTTCCATTATTTTATTATTTTATATGGTCTCAGAGCAAGTTAAGGGTGCTCTTTCCATCCTTTATTCTTATTCTTAAGGCTAGGATTTTCACTTTTAACATTTGTTTTTATTTTCTAAGGTTAGAGTTTCTACTTTTGATCTTTGTTATTTTTCTACGTTAGAGTTTGTTGAGAGAGATTTGCCAAAATTTATTCGAAAGATTCGAAGCAAAACTTATAACAAAAGCATACAAAAAAAAGAAATCACAAAAAATACAAATAACAACAAGATTTAACGTGGAATAACTCTAGAAGTAGAAAAAATCACGGAGCTACACCACACCAATAAATCCACTATACAAATGAGAAGAGTTGTACAAATTACACCACACTCAAGCCTCTCTATACTGTTGGAACTTAAGAGCACTCATTCCTCTCATTTGTATAAGAGAATTCTCAAAATTTAATTTCAACGCACATTGATCCTGCAACGAAAATGCAATTTTAAGCCTCAAATTGGTTGAATGTAGTTATTGGCACCGGTGTGCCATGATGGCCGATGCGGCTCCCCTTTCTAGCACTGGGGCGCTGGGGTGCCGAGCTCTCTATTTCTTGGCCTATACATGAACCTGAGTTGGGCACTATGTTGCCCCTTCCTGGCGCTGGAGTGTCGAGTGCTCGGATTCCAAACGCTAGAGTATTGTGGTGCCCAGTATAGAATATTTTTTTTTTGGGCGATAGCTCCCTCTAACCCAATACATGGGTTCACTCCTGTACCCCCAAACAAACTCACCACAAAGCTTGATTGGCGAAACTTAGAGCTTTGAGTTACCAATTGATCTACACTAGACTCCACATAATAATATAGTTTTCACTTCCAATCTTTGTTATTATTCTTTAAGGTTAGGGTTTCGATTTACAACTTTATCTCTCTTGCTGAATTCTCCTTCTATTCACTATATCGGGTCTTTGATTTCCCTTTAACAAAATTGACCATGATTAATGGTGAAAATTAGACCAAAGGAGAATTTTAGGTATTTCAAGTATCTTATCACTTGAATTGGAAACAGTTATCTTAAATAGTCCCAAATCGTGAAGACATTTATTAAGGAAACGAGAAATATTCAACACCATGTAGATCTAGCTCAGGAGCTCAAAGACCCAAAGTTGATTCTTTGAGATAAAAAATTAATTTCATGATCATGACATGGTATTGGCACACCATGCTACTAAAAATTTGTGGGATTTTATGCTTCTCTTCCAATAGAAATATGCTATTATTCTACTAAAAGAAACTAACCCGTGTGAAACACCAATTGAACCAAGGCAAAAACTGGATTTTGATGCAAGAACTGATGTAAATATAGGACAATATCAAAGAAAATTAACTGGTTGACATATTCACCAAAGGATTCTACAACCCAACATTTAAAATATCATAAGCAAACGTGTAATGGTAGATCTTTACCATCTAGTTTGAGGGAGAGTGTTAATTTTATGCTCTAATCACAGCAAAGATCTTTACCATCTAGTTTGTGTCGTTAGATTTGTCTCTCTATGTTCCTCGGATTGTAATCTGTGTGCTTTACTAAAGGTTCGTTAGCCCCTATTTATTTTTCTCTCCTTTTTCGGTTTTATTCCTATTTTATCATCTCTATTGAAGATGTATATATATCGTCACTCGTGTACAAAGAAAAATGAAGACACTTGAGAGTGTTTTCATCATTTTATTTTCTATCGTTTATGAAAGTGCTAAATTAGGTCCCATACTATTTTAATGAGGGCTAAAATAGTTAAATGTTGGGCACCTTTATGGAAAGATCTGATTACCCCGATTTTTTTCCTCAAATTTTGCATCATAAGGTAGTGGCATTATTGCTCTATATGTGTCTTATTCGCTTACATTGGCATGTCGAGCACCTTATAATCTAAAGAATTATATTTAGCTTATGAAACCTTGGAGCAAGGTGATAGTGGATTTGATGCAAATGATTGGCATTTCCTTCTAATACCGCACCGTCCACGAAGCGCATTGTTATACATATTACCCAATGTTTGCTTCATACCTGCAACTCTTTACTCCCACTTCCTTTCTTGAGCAAGGTGCACACGTCTTTTCTTTTGCACCAGATATTGTGAGGAGGCCGTCCCTCCAAAGTTCAAATACCTTCAAGTAATCTTTATAAACATGAAGGGGTACTGCTCTTCATTGATCACATTGTTATTTTTGACAATGTGATGTCATTGTGCATCTTTCTGACTCTATAAAGTGTCAATTATTTCTTACACCTTGGAGAAGACAACTCCTTTGAGGGATTTTCTTACTTAATATGTTACCAGTTTATCGGCTTGAAAATGCTACTTAATGATCTACTGTCGTTTTGCCTCAAGTAGAGGGAAAGGGAGTACCTTCAAGTAATCTTTTGCTTTTTTTTTTTTGGGAGAAAGGTCTCTTTATGATTTTTTACTGCTATATTTTTGTCAACTGGATTTTTTTTTTATATCAAGTGTTTTTAACCTCTGTACTTTTGTATCTCTGCATCTGCAGGAGTTGCTATGGAGCTGGAAGACTCCTTATATCCTTTGTTGAGAGAAGTTAGCATAGGTGTAAATCCTTATGATCTTTTCCAGGGCGCAGAATGGGCACTTCTGATTGGAGCCAAGCCTAGAGGTCCTGGAATGGAACGTGCCGGCCTATTAGATATTAATGGGCAAATATTTGCAGAGCAGGTTGCATACACCCTGAATATAATTTCTTTTCAGTAGCCCTAATATTGTTTTTCTCATCCTTATTGAGATTTGGGATTAAACCAATTATAGGGAAAAGCTCTCAATGCTGTGGCATCCCGCACTGTAAAAGTCATTGTAGTAGGCAACCCATGCAATACAAAGTATGTGGCACATACCCTCTGAGCCTACATGAAAATTAAGTTTTTATTTTATCTCTATTTAATTTTCAATGTAGGAGAATGCTACGTATTTGTCTTCATAATTATGCTTGTTCTGCTTAGTAAAGCGAGTTTCATGCAGTGCACTTATTTGTTTAAAAAATGCACCAAATATACCGGCAAAGAATTTCCATGCTTTGACACGGTTGGATGAAAACAGAGCAAAATGCCAGGTAATTATATTTGCACATTATTTTTTTGGTTAATTTGCGTAGATGTTCATTAGTTTGGTATCTTGTTAAAAATGATAATTGTTTTAGAACTTTATAAACAAGAATATGTATTCACCCAACTTTTCAAATAAGAAAAACCAAGATGACATACATGCCAGGATTTCTTCAAAGTCCACATATCTGAAAAGTCAGATTCGTCTATTACGATTTGTTATGAAACTTTTGTATCAATTCCAGAGTGATACCTCGTTTGTTTCCCAATATTTCATAAAGAACTGTAGTTGTTAAACCAGGTTTTTAAGAAACCGTACTAAGTTTAGTTATCTTGTATGTAATAAAGATAAACTATGGTATTTGTTTGTGAAGTTTCAAAACTATTGTCTTTTTTCCCTGAAGATTTCTTTATCCTATTGTGTTTGTTATAAATTAAAGCGAATATAGTTCTTGTGCATATTTTTAAATATTTAAACTTATGAGGTTTTTAGTCAAATATGAATTATTGCAGCTGGCCCTGAAAGCAGGTGTATTTTATGACAAAGTCTCAAATGTCACCATCTGGGGAAATCATTCAACCACCCAGGTGTGCTTCGAGAGCTTTAGTTTTGAATCATCAAATATCTAGCATTGGTTTCAAGCACAATATTGCTAATAATATCTTACCAAATTATCAAATATACCAACCTTTCATTTTCTCTCACTTTATGAGTTTATATCGATCTAAATTTCTCCAGTTCTGAATTAATTAATTCCATCGACAGGTGCCTGATTTTCTTAATGCAAAAATTAATGGCATACCAGTGAAGAAAGTTATCACTGACACCAAGTGGTTAGAACAGGAGTTTACTGAAAGTGTTCAAAAGGTAAATTTGTGATGACAGAGAAATGGAAATGAGGATAAAAAAAATAAAGGTTCTCTGATGAATTTTTGTATTGACTATTTTATCCATCTATCCCGGAATGCTTCCTGGTTGATAATCAAAAGATGACTTTTAAGAAGCTTAAAAAATTTGTTGGTACAATTTTTTTGCGTTTTTTTCACTAAGTATAGCTTTTATTATGATGAAACGATTATTATGTGACATAATTATCATTTCGTATTTCTTTTTTATGTATGAATGTGTTAGGAACCGTACGAATTTTCACACAAAAATTATGGCAAAATATTTTTTTCTTCAATAACACAAACAACACAACATATTAATAATAAGCACCTATAATTCGAGAGGTAAGCAATCTCTCCTAAGTCCCACAACTTGAGAGGTATGAAATTTCTTCTAAATCCCAACTCTAATACTCAAGACCCAATTTGATGCATAACCCTAACCGTAAACATATTAGCTCTATTTATACTAATCAATAATAAATGACAAATGAAAAAAATTGCCCTTCAGCTCACAGAAGGCAAAATTGTCCTTAGGCCAGACACCGACGTAACAATACTCTTCCCAAAAGACATCTTGTCCTTGAGCTGGGAAAAAGTAGGGGTGTTCCTCCACCAAAGCTGTTTTTTTTCCTTCATCCTTCCCCTCCTTATCATATTCTGTGAGATTCTATAATGTCTGATCCTTACAATAATGTCTTGGGGTAACTTCTCATCACAGTGAAAACATAATTCCTTGGCCTGCTTCTCTTAAATGTGTGTCTTTGTAAGATGCTTTAGTGTCGCTCCTGGTCGTGACCGATGATTCTTGTCGTGTGAAGTATCCCTTTGAACTTCATTTATTTGAGCTTTTTTTGGAATATAATAGTTTTGTATGACATATAAGAATAGATCTAATAAAACACAAATTGATTATTTTCTTATGAGAATAAGAGATGGTCGAGAATGTAAAGATTGTAAGGTCATTCCAAGTGATGATTTAAGTACTTATCATCGATTATCAGTTATAGATTTTAAGATAAAGAGTTGTAAAATAAAAAATACTATGAATCATCATCGTAGAATTAGATTGGGGTGCCTAAAACTCACATAAAATTATTTTTATGAATAAAATTTAAGATTACAAAATTTGGGATGTTCATGAAGATGTCGATTCCATGTGGGATAAAGTAACAAACACTATTAAACAAGTGACAAAAGTTTTACTTAGAGAATTAAAAAAAATTATTTAAATAAAAATAGTTGGTGGTGAAATAATAATGTGCAAGAAAAGATAAAATATAAGAAGTTATGTTATAAAACTTGGTTTAAATGTAAAAGCTTAGAGAACTAGAAAAAACATCAAACGGCCCGTAAGGAGCCTAAGAGAACAATCTGTGACGCTAAAAATTCTGCTTTTTAATGATCTTTATAATATATTAGATACTAAGGAGGGTGAACAATCTGTGTATAAACTAGCCAAATAAAGAGAAAAGAAAAATAAAGAGTTAAGTATAGTGTATTAAAGTTGAAAATCAAAAAGTATTTTTCTTAGAAAAAAGATATTCAATATAGGTGGGTGATTTATTTTGATAAACTTTTTGATAAACTTATAAACTTTTTAATGAAGTTTCTGAAAATACGATTGACCTTAGTGATCTTAATATCGTTAATAATATATCTTTCATTTTTAGCGTTGTATTAGTAAAAAAATAGTTGAGGATTTAAAGAAAACTAAGGGTGGAAAGTTTGTATGACCTGATGATATCCCTATTGAAGTGTGAAAATATATAGGAAATTTGGGAGTTTTTTGACTTACTAAACTCTTTAATATTATTTTAAAAAACAAAAAAGATGGCTGAGGAGTGGACAAAGAGTATTTTGGTCCCCATTTTTAAGAAGAAAAGGGATGCACAAGAGTGTGCAAATTATAAATAGATTAAGTTGATGTGTCATACTTTTAAATTGTGGGAGGGTAATTGTACATAAGTTAAGACGTTTTACAAAGATTTCTCATAATCAATTTAGTTTTATGCTAAGCAGGTCTACTATGAAAGCTATACATTTATTGAGAGGTTTGATGGAGAAGTTTAGAGATAATAAGGAGGATCCACATGTGAGGGGGTGCGAGGGGAGGGATGCTTTCTTCCTCATTGTCTTCTCGTTCGATCTCCTTCACTTTCAATTTAGCCAATGCTTCTCAAGTCACCCCTTGTTAGGGTTTGCAAATTGAAGTGTCGGTGGGGTCTTGGATTGCATCTCAATAAGCTTCCCTAAAATCTTCTCAAGCTCTCGAAGCGACCTTAAATCATTTTTCCATGGAGGAAAATATTTCTTCTATGGTGGAGAACCTTTCCTCCATCCCAAATCTAAGTTGACTTGTCTCTCCCTCCAACTTCTTCTTCAAATCACCTACTTTATTTAGCCATCTCTCCCAGTATAATTTTTTATCACGAAGGCGGAAACTTACAGTTGTCGCTTCCCGGCTAGCTCTCATCTCGAATGTAATGCAAGTCAGTGTACAACTATACCAAGTGATCTCGTCTTTTGGTGGCCAAAGGAGCGGCTTCTATATGATTCCGTCATCATTGTATCGCAACTTCCAATTTGATCGGACTGCGACATATCATGATCCCAAGATTTGTTTCACAAGCCCACATCGTCGCTATATTGCGTCGTCACAGAGAAATGTTCAAATTGTGACTGCTAGGTGTGTGTTCAATCCCTCTGCATGCCACGATCTCATCGTTGCGTTGTTTGATCACGCTTCCCTTGTTGCTTCACAACTACCTCTAATCGCGACTAGATTATGATGACGGAATAGGAGGGGGAGAAAGAAGGAAGTTTCATGTCTCTTTACGCCGCGATCCCCTTGTTGTCTTCTCCACAAAAATTAGTTACCTTGATCCTGTTGTTGCCTTCTTTGCGAAGAAAGGAGAATTTTCAAGTCTCTAAAAGTAATGATTTCGTCATAAGCCGTACTCTTTTTTCCATAAATTCCCGGAAATCTGCAACTCTGATACCAAGTTGTTAGGGACTGACACAGATTTCCACACAAAAATTAGGGCCAAACAATTTTGTTTTTCTTCACTAAGAAAAACAACACAACATATTAAAGATAAACACCTATCAAGAGGTAGGTGATCTTTCCCAAATTCTGCAATTTGAGAGGTAGGAAATCTCTCCCAAGCCCTAACCCTAAGACTCAAGACCCAATCTTATGCATAACTCTAACCCTAAACATATTAGTCCTATTTATGCTAAACAGTAATAAATGATAAAAGATAAAATTGCCCTTAGGCTAGGCACTAACATAACAAAATAACCAAAATCATGTTCAATTTTTATCCAAATCATACTCATATCATGTTATATTTATCATTTTCAGCGTGGAGGTGTGCTTATCCAAAAATGGGGCAGGTCTTCTGCTGCATCAACTTCTGTCTCAATTGTTGATGCCATAAGGTCCCTTATTACCCCAACTCCAGAAGGCGATTGGTTTTCATCCGGGGTACGTCTATCCAATTTTTCTTCATTATTCCGTTGAAGAAAAATTTAAAACAAAAAAAGCTAACTTTTTTTTCATGGTTCACAATAGAAACATAAACGCTGCAAAACTTTCTGTTCGTTGCCAACATTAAACTTTATTTTAATTGCAAAATCACAGGTTTACACCAATGGAAATCCTTATGGTATTGCAGAGGATATTGTCTTCAGTATGCCATGCAGATCAAAGGTCAGCAACGCATCATTTCATATTGCTAATGTGCTCTTTTTGGAGATGGATCTTAGCAATTGACCATTCTTTCTCAGGGAGATGGCGACTATGAACTAGTTAAGGATGTAGTAATTGATGATTTCCTTCGTGAACGTATAAAAAAGGCAAGTTCGTTTTTCAGAATCTGCTTTCATGTCTTTGCAATGTCAGTTTAACAAAGTTTTCCTTCATCAATTTTTCAGACAGAAGCAGAGTTGCTTGCTGAGAAAAGATGTGTTGCTCATCTTACAGGGGAGGTAAAATGTTCATTCCTTGTGCGCACCTGTGTTAAATCAAATTTTACATACAGGCCATCCAATTCCTATGTATTTACATGTCTAACACCTAAACTTTGCTTTTTTACATTTATACCACCGAATTCTTTCATATCACATCAAAAATAGTACCATTTTAAACTTAAAAATTGAAGTTTTATGTGTTTGATATGCAAATAGATAAGAATTAAGTGGTGTGTCTGTAAATCTTCCTAAATCTGATCTATTCACTAATTTTGCACAGGGCAATGCATTCTGTGATCTTCCTGAGGACACCATGCTTCCTGGAGAGATGTAGGACTTCAATGCCGCGGTTTCTTCATTTGGTTTTATATCAGGAGAATCATTTTCCAAGTAACGAGTTTGGAGTAACAGAGATGCCTTCGATCAAAATAGTAAGTGTGCTATACTATGTTTATGTACAAGATAAAGAAGCATAATGGCTTCTTGGTGAAAGTGTTGGCATGCATTCAAATTTTGTATCATGTTACATGTGCGAGTCCTACGTCTTATGTCTTATTTATTCACTGCTTCAATGGTATATATGTAATTCATTTAAAAATAGTTACAATAATGTTTACAGAAAAACTTGGAAAATGCATCACAGGGGAAGCAGAAAGAGGGCTGGGTACTAACCTTAAGGCATATCAAAATTAAGACTTCAAACTTATCTTTAAGTCTTTCTGACCAACAATAATTTTGAGTGTTGGTGAGAAGGGCCGATAAAAATTGCTTAAAGTTGGGAAACCAAAATTGACCTTTTATAAATAGAATTCTTTCCTATCAAAGAATTAATTACTCTCTCAATATTAAGAAACTCTTAAAATTAATGGTAGATCTAATATTCATCCTCATGGTTTGGCTATACTTCTGCTCAAGCACATGGAACTTCTTTCATTAGTTCCCTCTCAAGTTCATTTTAGTCTCATTCTCTCTAGAATCTTCATGATATAAGCTTTCTAGGACACTCGACATGGTTTGAGATCTCTCATTTTGAATCTTAATGTCAATCACATATGATGCTCTCCTTCTTTCATATTACAATGTGGAGCTGTCACCTTGTGTAGCAATTTCATATCATTGTTCAGGAAAAATATTATTATTGTATAATACCATAAAATTAATTTTACTTACACTAACCTTGTGGTATGTACATTGATTTATAAAGTTCTTTATTAAACAATGAAACGTGCTATTTCTGAAATTTTTAAGCACCATTGAGAAGAGCTTTAGTCTATCATACACATAGTAAAGCCTGTAAACTAAATATTTATTGTCATTTGAAAGGGGGACTTTATGGGTTGGAAATGAAATTATTTAAAAAAAAAAAAAAAACCTACTTCATTTCATTGATGATGGACATATATGGATCCTTATAAGTTGCAGCATTTATAAATAAATTCTCAGACTTCATATATTTACAAATAGGACCATCTCAACACTCCCCATTAAGATTGACGAAAGATATTCACTAAGCCCATCTTGTCATATAATTTATCTAACTCCACCGAGCTAAGTGCTTTAGTGAGGCAATCAACCACCTGCTCTTCAGTAGCTACATGACTTTAGTTCCAACAGTCTGTTATTCAGCCTCTCCTTGATAAAGAATCTATCAATCTCCACATGTTTTGTTCTATTGTGTTGCATCGAGTTGTTAGTAATGTTGATTGTCGACTTGTTGTCTCACCAGAAGATCATTTGAGTTCTCTGATCCACTTTGAGTTCAACCAATAAGGTTTTATCCACATCATCTCAGCAACTCTTAAAGTGTTGGCTCTGTATTATGCCTTTGTTGTTGATCTTGCTACAATTGAGTGTTTTTTGCTCTTCTACGAGACAAAGTTGTCACCTCCAAACATGCAGTCTTGGTGTGGATCGTATGTCATTAGCTCAATTTGCCCGGCCAGAATCATAAAAACTCTCAATATCTACATGTCCATTCTTATTTAATATTAATCCTTTCCTTAGAGCATTCTTATGCAATGCTTCAATATGGTCTTTCCTTGTATCTTGTATGTAGTGGCTCACCATACTTACTGCAAAAGAAATATTGGGTCGAGTATGGCACAAATAGATCAGACTGCCCACCGGACTCTGGTACCTCTCACGATTAACTGATTCACCTGCCTTTGTACTGAGCTTGACCTTCTGATTAATGGGAGAGAATGCAGATTTGCACCCCCGCATACCTGTTTCCATTAGAAGATTCGATACATATTTCCTCTATGATAGGATCATTCCCTCAGGTCCATGGGCCACTTCCCAAGTAAGTATCTGACCTGTCTCAGGTCCTTTACCTCAAATTTGTTCACCAATCTTCCCTTTAGTCGAGCAATCTTTGAGTCATCATCACCAGTGATAACTATGACATCCACATACACAACAAATATGGCAGTGTGACCTTCATGTTGCTGAAAGAACACCCTTTGGTCTGCATTGATTTGCTGATATCTCATGTCAACCATCACAATTCTAAACTCATCAAAACAGGAGATTGCTTCAAGTCATACAACGACTTTCTGAGCTAAGACATCTTGCCCATTGTCTGAGATGTACTGAATCCTGGTGGTATCTCCATATATACCTCCTCCAATAATTCCTCTTGAAGAAAGACATTCTTTACATCCAGTTGGTGGAGTCTCCATCCACCATTCACTGCCACAAAAACCAGTGTCCTCACCTTGCTCATCTTTGCTACTGGTACAAATATTTTATCATAGTCAATATCATACGTCATACTCACCTGGATGGAGAAGGAATAATATCACCTGAGAGTTTTGAATCAAAGGTGGATGGTGTAGGTGTCTCAATAGTTGGGGAAGACCAGGACAAGGGACTTGTTGGTATTACGGACTTTGTTCCCTCAATTTACTTCTTTCTCTGTGTATACACCCTTACCTATCCTTCAACCTGAATCCCACCACCTCTGGGGTCAATCGCTTCATTTTTCATCTCCTCATTTGATTCATCCCACATCACAGAACATAGCATTTCTCCCACTTGCATCACTCCATCAATACTATTGCTCACTCTCTCTTATCTCATATCTATAGTGGTTGTTGAGTCACCGAATGGTGAATTTACCTTCGGAGTGTAGTATGATTCAAACTCTCTGAATGACACATTCATACTCACGAAGAGTCTCTTCTCAATCGGGCTCCAACAGACATAACTCTTCTGAGTAGCAGAATAACCCACAAACACACATTTCACAGCTCTGGGATCCAACTTCCCATGTGTACGGCCTGTCTTTTTCTCTTGGAAGATAACCTGAGGAATATCAAAAGAGACAATACATTTTAACTAAAGAATAACAATACTAATGGATAAGATGTTTGCTGGAAAAGAAGAAGCATGCAAAACATTGGACAAAGTTATATGGTTGGTACATCTCACCGTTCCCTTACGAACTACAGTTTGCGATATACCATCAATAGTCTATGAGTATATGAAGAGAACTCTCCAGCGGTACCTGTCACGTGACGAGAAGCGCTGGAATCTATCATCAATTATGTGACTTTGTGGTGGAAATAGAGGAGAGAGCAAATGTGTCATCAGTGTCTTTGATGAAACGAGCATAAGTGACAATATTGCCCCTTGAGGTCGATGGATTTGAAACGTGCTCGACTCTATCTCCTGTTGCTTTCTATTTCCTCTTCAACAGCTTCAAACGCTCTTGATTCTCACTAGTAAAGATCACATTTGTCTCTGTCTTGTCCTCTGCTGCCATCAGATTTGCTTGGTACCCTCCTCTCCCACCTTTCTGACTCACACGACCACAACCATGGCTACGACCTCTATCTTATCTGCGTCTACTTGTCTCTCTCTCCTTAGGTGGATTAGGACAAGCCCTACTCAGATGGCCAACTTCACCACAGTTGTAGCATTTGCGAGTCTCCCCTTGGACACCTAGCATACCTAGGCTTGCAGTAGCCAATGTTGATTGTGCATTTGAAAAACTTCTCGACTCAGACTATAGCTTCATTTGACTTTCCTCCTGTATCATCGCGATAATGACCTCATCTAGTGTAGGAATAGTCTCCTCAGTAGGGCTGTCAAAATGGCTTGTTGTTCGCGAACAACTCGTGTTCGGATCGTTAAAGATGCCCGTGTTCTGCTCGTTCGCTAAGTTAACGAGCGAACAAGCCGAACACGAACGAAGTTGTTCGTTTGTGTTTGGCTCATTTTGACTCGAAATACTATATATATATATATATATATATAAATA